GAAAAAAATCTTAAAAAAGAAAGCAGAAAATAATACAAACTAGAACAAATTTAAAATGGAGAAAAATGATCAAGTCTTAAATGTTAATCGAACTATGCCTGCATAAGCCCACTTTTCAATACATTGTCTGATAGCAATTGCCTCTCTGCCGCCCCACCCCCAATAGTTCACCATGTATGTAGGTGCTTCTCAACAATATATTTTCTTGTTTGCTTATTTTCAAATTTTATAGTAGTAGTAGCTTTAAGTACCTGACACTGCTTCAAAGCCACACATAAGGTTTTTAGTGGCGTTTTCCTCTGAAGTGGGTAGCCCAGTTCTAATCCCTTGTCTGTTCTTGGTCTGGAGGCTCCGCTGAAACCTGTTCACTTTGACCCTGCTGACATTTGAAATACCAGTGACATCGCTTCCAGCATCAAAGCAACACACAAGCCACACAGTACAACAATCTGTATGCTGAGCAGATCAGAGAGTTCGCAGACTTTTCAGGAGAAGGCCACGCCCACACAGAGGCCTCATTGGCTATGACCCGATTGACAGACTAGACTCCACCCCTTCACTCATTATCCTCTCCAGTCCCAAATTGACCCCAGGTTAATGTAACTACCACATTTACCTTTGCAACTCGTCCACATGAGTTTTCCACTGTCTTATACCCTTCCTTTGGGGTGAAGCTACCATCGTTATGAGTCTGACTGCCAGTGGGTATTGGTGTTTTGCGTTTTGCTCTTACAAACAGCTGCCATGAAGATTCTGTGCATCCCTCCTTAAGCACATGCACAAGAATTTCTTTGGTATGTACACCGAGGAGTGCACTTGTAGGGTAGGAATACACCAGGATTCAAAAAGTTTGTGGAAAAATGGAAATGAAAGCGTAGAATTTTTCCACAGACTTTTTGAAGCCCCTCATTTATCCCTCTCATATGCTTCATCAAAATGATTGGTGCACCCACTTGTTCAGCGTTGTGTCTGAGAGTCTGGTGTTTCTGTGTCCTCATCAATTCATCAGAAGTTGCTGTTTGCCCATAGGTTTTGTAAAATGAGACTATGGTTCTACATTTTTTATTTCCGTGATTAAATGGAGCGTGCTTAGTGTGCTTATTGGCCAGGATATTTTGTCTTTCTGGAAATGCTTCTCTTTTGGGTTGTGAGTCTCTTTTTGATTCAGAATCAGAATTTGTAGACTGTGTATTCTGGACACTAGCCCTCTGTTGGTTTTATATGATGCAAATATCGTTTCTCAATTTGTGGCTTGTCTCAGCTCATGACAAACCCTGTTTTTTTACTCTTTCATTCAAGTCTGTAAGCCTTCTGCAACAGAGGTGTATATTTATTGCTGTGTAGGAACCCAGTATCTGTTCCAAATACAAAAAGGAGCTCCCTAGTCGCATTAGTTCTGACATATATTAAGTTTCCCTATGTGTTTCCATATAGGGAAAGGTGGAAGAATTTCTGTGATCATCTATATAAATTTTAGAATGGTTTCTTTAAGCTTTGTTGTAAAAAGCTATTGGACTTTTAATTGGAAATGCACTGGATTAATTTGGAGAAAATTGACGTCTGTAGGATATTAGGTCTCCTTATCCATAAACAGTACTCCATTTATCTAACTCTCTTGTGTGTTCTTCAATAAAAAGTTTCAAATTTTCTTCATAAATGTCTTATATATCTGTCATGAGACTTATTCATAGGTTACTTGCATTTTTAATACTATTGTAACTGGTCATTTAAAACACATTTTTTACTTTGTTGAACTTCTGAAATGCAGTTGATTTTATGTGTGTGTGTGTGTGTGTGTATATATATATATATATTCAGCGTACATATAACCACTTGGGTAAACTTTTGTATTAAGTTTAGTAAATTCTATGTAGATTTGGGAAGTAGGGTCTGTATATGTAAATCCTGAAAATGCTAACACTTTTCTTCTGTTTCAAGTCGTGTGTTTTATCTCTTTCCCTTGTGTTATTTCATGAGTAAGATCACAGTGATTGGAAGTGGAGAGATAAAGCAGACTCTTCTTGTTCCCTAACTTTACGGGAGTGTTTTCAATAATTACAATTTTATACAATAATTGCTGTGAGGTTTTTGGTAGATGCTCTTAATCAGTTAAAGGGAATTTCCTTCTATTTTGGAATTCCTTCCAATTTTGTTAAGAGTTTTTAGCATGAGCGTCTATTAAAGTCTATTGGGAGCTTTTTGTTGGATCTGTTGACGCTAGAATTCTTTTCTCTTTCAATATATTGGTGAAATGAGCTGCATACACTCTGGGCAGTTCGAAACCACCAGCAGCTCCGCAGGGGCTGGGTTATCTCCTCCCATATGCCGCCCACAGCCTTAGAAACCCGCTCGGGTAACGACATCAGTCAGCATTGACTCATTGGGAATGCGTTTGGGTGTGGAGGTTATTAGCTGTCTTTTCGCTCCTAGAATAACTTTGTCTTAACTGTACTCAACTTTGTCATGATGCGTGCTTTTCAAACAGATGTGCAATGGTGAATTGTTGGTAGATATAAACAAATTTCAGAACTAATGTATGAGAGTAAAATCGTTTTTGGAAGACAACCTTCCCCAAGCACGTTGGCTCACAGGTTGTATATCTAGTTATTACATGTCGGTAACGCCTTGGTGTAGTGGAATGAACACTGGAAGACGAAAGCCAGCCTTGTTGTGCCCTCCAGTTCAGAATTCATTTGACGTGCATGAGCTTTACTTTCCTCAATGAAGAATCTCCGTGAGAGTTAGTAACCATGTGGCTTTACTCACCTTCCTATTAATCCAGCATTATCCAACAAACATTTACTTACTAGACACTGAGGCCAAGGCAAAATCTATTCTTCTAGGAAGAATATTCTAAGAAGGGAGAGAATAATGACGAAACAATCATAAAAGCAGTTTGGGCATCTTATCTCCAGATCCAAAACCAAATACACTGCCTAGTCATCTCCCATTCATAGCAACCCTGGAAAGGGCTTGTGGGATGGTGACTTTACCGAGACAGCCTCAACTGTGGTTTAACCTAAGGAAGGCTCCTTTTCACTGGTAGGGAGAGAGGAAGGAAAAGATTTGGATGGGATGTGGAACTTGATGTGGAACCTTTAAGAGATAGTTAATAGTTATTGATCTCCACAGACCCTGCTCTTGGTTGTTGACAAAGGGATTGGACTAGTTGTTTTCCATGGACTCTTCTAGCTTTGAAACTTTGTTTCCTTAACTTCTGACTATTTCACCCTTTCATGCTTTCTTAGACATTTGTGTTGCTACCTCTGGGCTATGGCTGTTGAAATCTTTTTGTTCCAGGGCTTAGAGATGTGAATGAGATAAAGGAATTCTTGGTTCTGTTTTGTTAAGTCATGCCAACATATATCATTTTTAAAAGGCAGATGATATTTTTATATGAATTGTTACACAGAATTAACCTATTTACTTTGTTATATTTCTATGAAATTGCTCTACTTGTTGTTACCATAACTAGATTTCTAAACCCCAATACGCCACATAATTTCTAAGCACATTTCATTTGTGTGTCTTATTTTAGTGCTGGACCCAAAGGAGACAACATTTATGAATGGCGGTCGACTATATTGGGACCCCCAGGATCTGTCTATGAAGGAGGGGTGTTCTTTCTTGACATTACCTTTTCACCAGACTATCCGTTTAAACCCCCGAAGGTCAGTATGAACCATCCATCCTCTTTGAGCAATACGCATTGTTGTGTCCATGCGCCCACTAAACCCACTGCCACTGAGTCGAGTATGCACAGACGGACCCTGTGCAGACGAGAAGGCTTCTTCACAAGCTTATTGGAAAAGTCAGCTGTGTTTTAAGATGATTCCATTTTCAACCAACTTGTTGAAGCCTCCTCAGACATATTCTTAAGTATATGTATCCAGAAATTGATGCCTTTTTTATGAACGGGAAATACTTCCCAGAACTGTGTGTGTGTCATAAGGAAACAACAGAATGATGAAAATGACAGGCATCCTCGCCAGCAAGCCCTTTGGTTATACTTCATTGTTCCTCTAATCTTCTCTCTGTCTCTCTTCTGTGATGTACAAGGAGGCTTTGGAATATCTTAAAAGATCATAGAAAACTGTGGGGAAATGGGATGAAAGGGGAGCAGGAGTCATTGTGAGGCTCCCTCATGTTTTTAGGTAAGCTAGGACAGCAGGTGATGGGAGTGTAATTAGAGGTGAGGGTAGGCTGGGCCAGCCCTAGAGCCCTGAGCCTGTGAGCCTGCGGGAGCCAGAATAAAGGCAGAGCCTGTGAGGCAGCATTTCTGGCACCAGCTAGTGAGCTTTGGGTTTTAGTGTCTCCACAGTTCAACGTCCCACCGGATGTGCAATACACATGCCTCCGGAAAGTGTGACCCACAGTGACTCAAAGCCATCCTGAGAACATTCCGTAAAGAAGTATTTATTGTCCATTAATACATCAGATTAACTAATGCAGTCTTTTATGCCCACATCTAAAGGAAATACAGAGTGCAAGAGGGCAATGGAATCCAAACAGGAGAAGAAAGATTCTCTTATATGCTTTTTTTTTTTTAATTAAAAGATCATTGTATTGGGGGCTCTTACAGCTCTTATAACAATCCACACATCAGTTGCTGCCATCCTTATTTTCTAAACAAGTTTCGATTTGAGTCCTTGGTATCAGCTCCTCTTTTCTTCCCATTCCTTTTACGGCCTGTAAGTCAGCCACGTGACTATTTTAAATATCCCGTCTGTAAGCACGTGTTCCCCCTCCAGCCCAGGAAGAAAGCTTGAAGACGTGTGTGGTGAAGGAACCCTGTGTGGTGCCAGCATCCATCGCCTCCCCATGTGGGAGGGAAGTAAAACTTCTCTACATTGGAAGTTGGAGTAAAGAGCTTTAAAAGCAAAAGGAATGACTTTCGGTAATTGCTCTTCCTTCCTCCCTATGAATACTGTACTCTAATCATCCTCATTTTACAAAAGAGGAAACCCAGGCACAAAGATTCCGTAATTAGGCGAACACCAGTACTAAGATTTGAACCCAGGAAGCTGGCCTGCAATGCCCACCCTCTTGACACCCAAGCTGACCGTGTTGGTCGCACGATTGACCACCCAGACTTGCATTTGGCTGGAGTTCAGTGACAAAGCACAATAACCTAAAACTCATTTTCTCCTTTTCATGATTGGGACCCTCCTCTCTGCGACCAGCCTGTACCTCCCCAGTAGTACCCTGTTGGACTCCCAAGGGCGTGTCCTTTCTCTGAAGGCCTGCAGTGGAAGCTCCCTGGGGAAGTCTCTGTGTGCGTGGTGGGGGGAGGGGGTGGGGAGAAGCTGCACCGCTGGTCATTTGGTTCATTGTAATAGAAGCCTCAGGAAAATGCGTAGGCTTGTCCATGACAGAAGTGTGCAGCTCAAACAAAGCTCGGTTGAACAACGAATAAGTTGGACAAAGTAATTCCATTTTCCAAAAGACCTTGATGGTCTAGAAAGAGAAGCCAAACTAGCAAGATGGAACGGTAAGTGGCTAATGGTGGGGGTCCTGATACAAGCACAGGAGAGGGGGAAAAAGGCCTGCTTTATTTCTTACAAATGAAATTTTTGAATTTGGGGCTGGCTAAAAATTCTGTGGGGACCTGAAGGATACCCTTTCCAGAACTGTGAACCCAATCACATTGCATCTGAGTGCCTCATTCACCTCGAAACCCCACCATTTCACGACCCATTCACTGCCTGCCTACTCATAGCAACTGGATACAGAGTTTCCAAGGCTATAAATCTTCACAGAATCAAAGAGCCCCCTCTTTCTCCCAGGCAGTGACTGGTGGGTTTGAGCCACTGACCTGTGGTTAGCAGTCCCACATTTGCTGAACAGCACCACCAAGGATCAAAACCAAGCCCACTACCTTTGAGTCAACCTTATTGGGCAGAACAGAACTCTGCCCCTTAGGTTATAAATCTTTACAGGAGCAGCTTGAAACAGCTGGCAGATTCGAACTGATGACCTTGAGGTTTGTAGCCCAGCTTATAACCTACCATGCCACCAGAGTTCCTTACCTTAAAAAGGTTCTTTTTAAGGAACTCTTTTAAAAAGGCTTTACCTTACCTTTTTAAGAACAGATGAATATATGTCAGGAGAGAATCTTGAGTTTCTGCACTGGGTCAAGCACAGCACTGGGCCTCACGGTGCCCTTTTACTGAAAAGGAGACTTAGATGAGGCTTAGAAAGATTTTCTAAGAATATACAGCTAGGAATTTACCCATCTGTCTCCAGGGCATGTGCCTTCCGGAAAAGGACATGTGATCTCTGCCTTCAGATGTTTCAGAGATGATGCTATGGGTTGAGGTTAGACTCTGGATGGCTGGACAAAATAGAAACAGAAGGGTGTCCGTTGCAGGGAGCTGGGTTTCAGTTCTGTGTCAGACTGTGCGCCCTCCCCTGAGAGTGGAAGGTCCACTTACACAAAGTGACATCCCTCCATTGGGGACCGCCTTTAACATTGAGCAAAATTGAACTTACATAACTGGAACCACTTATCCCACCCCCACAACCACTTTATTGGGAGCTCTCACAAATATCCTACCGTTCCATAGTGAGGTCACATCGAGCAGTATTGTTCAATTGATACTACAAGCAGTTTCAAAACAGTTTCTTCTTTCTCGAACTCCATGACATCAACTCTCCTCTCTTCCCCCTCCGCCACTGTACCCCCCAGGAACTCTTATTCTACTTGTTGTCTCTATAGGTTAATCAATCCTGGATTCCATATATTGAAAAACATGTAACAGCAATTCAAGAGGGCTACCTGCAATGACAAAATAACATCAGAGATAAACCCCACTATTAAAAACAACAACAACAAAAAGTGTTGAAAACCAGATCAGGGGGCAGGGAGTGATCAAGTGCCAAGGTTTTACGCGTCAAGCCAGGTAGAACCACATCTTAAATGAACGTATAATAGAAACCTCTATGACATTTTTCATTGCAAATGATTTCCCTCCTAATTTACCCACTTTAGAAATCAGATTTTACAGATAGATAAATATATTACTCTAGGTGAAGAAAGTTGGTATGTGTTGTTGAAGAATGTTATCTAAAACAATCCAAAGGAGCCTTTTTATTATTAATAGTGTAGAAGTATAATGCCTGTACTTTTCTCATCTCTTTGTTACCAGCAAAAATGATTATTAGAAGTTGCCTCAAATCCTGGGTGGTGTTTTGTTTTTTCTCTCTCCTTCTCACTCCCACTCTCTGCTGCTTGCACCCTTTGCTCACCCCTTCAACCTGAGCCACTAATTTTGATGCATGTAGCATTTTCCAGTACTCTGAGGAACAAGCCAAGAAAGCCAGCCATAGGTGTGAACGGAGAAGTGTTGGTGAGAGCAGAGGCGCATGGTAAACCTAACTGGGTACCGTAACGGTTATGTGCCAATATTCATACTGTAAAATGTGTCTCTAGCATGACTTGATTCAAAGGATGACTTTTTTCAAACACTCTTGGTATCTTGCATTTGTTTGTTTTTAAGAACTTTTAAAGCACTCTGATACTCTGATGACAGCTTTAAGATCACTGGAGTGACTGTGGAATGACTCTTGGTGACCCTCTAGAACAGGGTAGAATTGCCACTGTGGGGTTGTGAGACTACTAACTATGGGAATAAAAAGCCTCATCTTTCTCCCTTGGAGTGACTGGTGGTTTCAAACTGCTGACCTTGAGGTTAGCACATAACCAGTATATCACTAGGGCTCCTTTTACTCTTTTTAAAGCCCTTCCATAGATAATTTCTCCCTTACCAAAATCTTGGTGGCTTTATGATTACAATTTAAGCTTAGCATTATATTTTCTTCCATTAATACACGTCTCTGTGGTGTTGATTCTAACTCACGGAGACCTTCTGTGTGCTGGAGTAAGCTGAGCTCCATAGGATGTTATTTCTCTCCCTACCCCACCCCAAGGATTGTGCAGTGGGTGGTGAAGTGCCCCTGCCTGGCACCCTGGCATGGTGGGTGTGTCCGAGCAAGCCTAGCATGGTGAAGCCGAAAGTCTCTAACCCTGGAGTAGCCTCACAAGACGGAAGGTGTCAATCAAGGCCTGGTACTGTTTACAATCTGGGTCACTGCGGTCACCTGTGATCTTTGACCCCATTCATAAACTATCGTGAAGAAACTGTATTCTTGCATTTTTAAAATACATTTCCTGTAATTAAGTACCAGATCTTACTTTGATTTGCCATGATATTTATATTAGCTCCAGATCATGGCCATGAATTTTTCATTGCTAAATATATCTCAGCAATACATAAAAGTATGTTCCACAAACCAACTATCACCATATACTACATTCATACATAATATCTAGGTGAGGAAGAGGGAAAAACCCACTCTTTAATAGTATTGCTTATTAATCTTTAAAAGCTTATAGTTTATTATAGATTTCATCTATATTTAAAAATGTTTTAGAAATTAATTCAGAGTAAAAATGTATATTATATTTGCTATATTTTCCTGGCATGTATTGGAGCCCTGGTAGCGCAGCGGTTAAGTGCTCACCTGTGAGTGAAAAGACAGTGGTTCAAACTCCCCAGCTGCTCTGCAGGAGAAAGTCTGGCACTTGGCTTCTCTAAATACCTAACAACCGTGGAAACCCCGTTAGGCAGTTCTCTGCCCTATAGGCAGGTTAGCCCAAATTGACTGGTTA